ACGTCGAGTGGATACAAGTACCTACTGACTTGCATCGATCGCTTCACTCGTTGGCCCGTGGCAGTACCCATCGCAGACATTTCTGCAGAGACGGTAGCACATAACTTTGTGGCTCATTGGATCGCGCATTATGGTGTACCATCCACCATAACAACTGATCGCGGTGCGCAATTCGAGTCGACGCTTTTTCGAGAATTAACCAATACTCTCGGAACCAAGCGTATAAGAACAACTGCGTACCACCCATCATCGAACGGGTTAGTCGAACGTTTCCACCGTCATCTCAAAACAGCTTTGATGGCATGTTCCGACACTACCCGTTGGACAGAAACCTTACCGCTGGTTTTATTAGGTCTTCGAACGACACCTAAAGCTGATTTAGGTTGCTCCACCGCGGAGCTGGTATATGGTACCACGTTAAAGCTCCCGGCTGATCTCGTTCAACCGACCGACATCGACGCTATAGATCCCTCAAACTTTGTCCATCGGCTACGTTCATCTATGCGTGAACTGCACTTTATCCCCACACGCGCACACACCAATAAGTGTTACATACCGAAAGATCTCGAAACTTGTTCACACGTGTGGGTACGAAATGATGCAGTCCGCAAGCCATTACAACCACCGTACGAAGGACCATTCGAAGTGATCGCTAGAACCGAAAAACATCATATGATCAACAAGAATGGTAAAGTCGATGCGGTTTCCGTAGATCGTCTTAAACCAGCGTACATCGAAAAACCTTGTAAACAACAATCTACTGATTCTTACTCGACACCGTGTACGCAGCAGACACCACAGCTCGTTGAAGATGACCCGCAGCTTGTAACATCTAAAGCTAAGCCACAAGGAGACATTAATACGCGGCAGACACGGTCAGGAAGGCGAGTCCATTTTCCAGACCGCTTAGTGTATCACACATCTTGACAATATCATCTTGTTCTGCTGATCACTTGCTAGTACCGCTTGCTGCCAGTCTCCTCCTGTTTGTTATTCTCCAGATTCCGCCAGGATGCAAGTGAACATCTCGCACGAGGAAGAAGCGGATCATCCAGTCTAGACAAATCCAACGTTCGTGCATTTACCATTCTGCACTGCTCCCAAATATTTCATTGTACCTTACACACAGAATATTAGCCTGCATGCCTCCCATACCTCAGCCTCGGGTATTTCATGCGACACTGTACCAGGTAGAGGTCAGTTTTTACCGGCTATTCCCACCGGGTTTTTTACTCCTGGTCGCTTGAACATCGTGCGACTAGCGCACTGGTGGGGAGGTATGTAGTGTACCTTTCACATTTTATTACATAACCTTCCGGTCAGCTGATAATATTGTCAGCTGTATCGACTATTCTTTCAAAATGCTTCATACATCGATCAACTTTCCTTTTTGAATAGCCGGCTGACTCTAGACTACCTCGTGTACAACATCTGGGAGCTCCAAATATACATTTATGGCAATACACGTATTC